GGGGTGTGGGTGGTGAAGACGAACCGGCCCAGGCTGGGGAGTGAACTGGGGCTTGGGGGGTATGGAATTCAGCGATCTGGGTACGATGGGCAAGTCTCTTAACCTAGAGCCTCGCCTTTCTCACTTTCTGAGAGGGGAGAACTGAACCCCAAGTCACGTGAGGATGATTAGGTGACAGACTCGGGGCAGAGGCCCCGAACGTCAGCCCCTCGCTTCTCCCTCTCCGGCGCCTCCATCACAATCGACCAGGAGCAGGGACAGGGTCTGACCGGCCACTTCTGTGCCTGCCCCTCTCCTGTGGCCCCCAACATACACGGCGTGGTGCCCCTCGCAGGGACGTGGTTAACAACCAAAAGGTCAGTGTGGGCAACGTTCCGTTCTTTTACATGAGGACAAGCCAAGGAAAATGGAAAGGCTTATGGAAAAATTTCTTTTTCTCTTAGACAAAAGTCATTTTGTGAAGTACCCTTTTGGCTAATGCAGTGCCAACCGGATCCTCTCCTCATGATTCCCCTTCCTGGCCCTCAGGAGGGCCCGTGGCATTGGAGGTTGGCAGACCCGGGACCCGAGGGTGCCAGAGGCCTCCCTCACCCCCATCCCCTCGGCCCGCTTCCTGCGGGTCAGCCGGGGACACGGTGCGGCTTCAGGGACGGGTTCCAGAAGCAGGTTTCTGGCTGTGGCCCCCGGCGGGAGGAGAGACCCCGGGCAGTTGCCAAGGCTCGGGCTCGGCCCCCACCTTCTCCTCGCTCCCCCGGGTGGGGGCTGGGCCTCAGTCTGCATTAGGGAAGCAGGGTTGTTTGTGTCCTGACATTAGCTGGTTCAGTAGAGCTGATGAGTTAGTTTCCAGGCGAACGGCTGTTTGCCTACTGGGTTTGGTCTTGGGTCAACAGTGGGCCGTTGACATTTCCAGGTTGTCACAGTTTTGGGTTACAGTTCGTATTTGGAGCAGGTGTGCCCGTGGTCACGGGGCTTTGTGTTTGGTGACTTTGCTGATGGGCTCAAACCCACACCCACAGGATGTTGCTGGTGAAAGAGGAGTTGCTGGCCCGGCCGGCGTGGCTCCGGGATTGAGCGTCGACCTAGGAACCAGGAGGTCACGGTTCGATTCCCGGTCAGGGCACATGCCCGGGGTTGCAGGCTCCATCCCCAGTGAGGGGCGTACAGGAGGCAGCTGATCCATGATTCTCTCTCATTGATGCTTCTATCTCTCTCTCTCTCCCTTCCTCTCTGCAATCAATAAAAATATATTTCAATCAATCAATCAATCTTGGCCAGCACGTGCCTCAGTTGGTAGGAACCAGTGGCTGGGGCCTTCCGTCTGCCCAGGAATGAGGAGCGTTAGGCTGTCATATCAGTTAAGTGGAGATCAGTCAAGAGGACACCTCTTGTGCTCCCTTCCTTGTGCCCAAGAAGAGGTCTCTGGCAGGTGGACGGATGGTCTTCCTCTCTCTCGGGTTCCCTTGCAATCAAGGTCTATGTGGGCAAGGCAGCTGACGCGGGTGAGGGCACAGTTTTGGGTCTCCCGTCAGCACCAGGCTCACTAGCCTGGGGTCAGTTACCTTCGTCTCCTTAGAACTAAAATCTGCTCAGAGGAGCTGTAATCCCTCAAAGGGCCACCAGAGCTCTACTGGGCCCAGGAATCTCACCTCCAGGATGGACCCATCTCCAGGATGGATCCCCACGCCCCTCCCCACTTCCCATCAGCCACTTGGGCTGCCAGTACCCAGCCATGTCTGCACGCCCTTTTCCCCCCATGTCTACATCCATCAAACTTTGCAGGAATCAAAGGCAGGTTCTTGGAGGGGGTGTAAGCTTCCGGTTGGCTTTGGATGGCTCCTGTCCCAACATGAGTCATTTTTTTTGTAACAGTGAGTCAGAAGGAACTTGGAAATCCTACTTGCTCTGTGTTCCCGTAAGAAGGGTCAACCTCTTAGTTAAAAGAGGTTGACATTATTGGCACGATCCTTGCACCACCTTCTGTTGAAGCATCAGGGGCCAACCTGACATGCACAGAGGGAATAACACGACATCAGATCGTTGTGCGATGTTCTCTTCACTGCACATCCATAAATTATATCTGTAAAAGCCTAAGCGACCGTTAGGACCAAACAACCAGAACAACCCGTCGACCGGTCGCTATGATGCACACTGACCACCAGGGGGCAGACACTCAACGCAGGAGCTGCCCTCTGGTGGTCAGTGCATTCCCACAGCCAACCTCCCTCAGCCACTGCCCCCCCCACACCTGCCAACCTCCCGCAGCCCCTCCCCCCTGCCAGCCAGCCCCCCCATAGGCCTCGATTGCCAGCCAAACCGAGGGACTCCACCCGTGCACAAATTCGTGCACTGGGCCTCTAGTAATGATAAATAAAAAGCTCCCACCCTTCCTATAAGTGCTTTTTTTAAAAAAAAGACAGGGTGGCCCTGGCCCCTGTGGCTCAGTGGTTGAGCATCAATCTATGAACCAGCAGGTTGTGGTTCGATTCCCGGTCAGGGCACATGCCCGGGTTGCAGGCTCGCTCCCCAGGGGGGGGCGTGCAGGAGGCAGCTGATCCATGATTCTCTCTCACCACGGATGTTTCTCTCTGTCCCCTCTCCCTTCCTCTCTGAAATTGATAAAAAACAAAACAACGAAAGAGAGAGATGGGTGTAGGAGAACGTGCGACGGTAATAACACTGCCTTCTCTCCTGTTTTAGGGAATGCTGTCGGTTTTTTGGAGGCAATGGCTTGACTTTGAAGGTGTTTTTCACCAAGGCAGCCCCGTTTGGTGTCCTGTGGACACTCACAAACTACCTGTACTTACACGCAATAAAGAAAATAAACACCACGGACGCCTCCGTGCTCTTCTGCTGCAACAAGGCGTTTGTGTTCTTGCTCTCGTGGATCGTTCTCAGGGACAGGTTCATGGGCGTGAGGGTAAGTCCTGGCTGCCCGCCTCCCTCCCGCGCTCATGCCGACCACCGCCCGCCCATCGGCTTGCTCGTTCGCTCCGTGCGCTGGCCCCCGAGCCCGAGCTGCTGGCCGCCCTCCTGCCGATCTGGCGGCGGCGAGGACCCCGGCACGGGGCCCCTGTTCTCCGTGTGCCTTGCAGACCTTCTTGCTTGCAAACCATACTCGACAAGCGCCCATGAAAGCACCTTCCATTTCAGGCTTCTCCACAAGCGTTCCCTGAAGCGCGTGCCCGTCGGGGACCCGGCCTGGGGAGGGTGTGTGGCCCTTGCCGGTGTGGCTCAGTGGATAGAGCGTCGGCCTGTGGACTGAAGGGTCCCAGGCTCGATTCCGGTCAAGGGCATGTACCTCGGTGGCCGGCTCAATTCCCAGCCCGGTCTGGGAATTGACAACCAATCATGTGTCTCTCGCACATCGATGTTTCTCTCTCTCTCTCTCTGTCTCTTCTCCTCCCTCCTATTCTCTCTCTAAAAAAAAGGGGAGTTTCCCTCGAGTCCTAGAGCTGGTCTCGCCTGGCTGCCTGCCTTGTGGCCAGT